GTCAAGTACCTTAGGCACTACAAGCCATCAACTCGATCCTACTCATAGCGACCCCATGTGACAGAGTAGAACTGCCCCATGGAATTTTCTTAGCTGTGATCTTTGCAGGAAGGAGCTCTGGTGGCACGGTACCAGAAGGTTGGCAGTTCAAACCCACCAGTCGCTCCATAGAAGGAAGACTGGGCAATCTACTTCCATAAAGATTTACTGCCTCAGAAACCCAGTGGGGGTTGCTATGAGTCGGAATTAACTTAATGGCAGTGGATTTGGTTTTTTGGGGTTTTGATCTTTATGAGAGCAGATCGTCAGATCTTTTTCCTGCAGAGCCACTGGGTGGTTTGAACCACCAACCTTTCTCTTAGCAGTCTTGTGTTTAACCGTTGAGCCACCAGGAGCTAATGTTAAAGAAATAGGAAAACTAAGAGGCCCATAGAATTAAAAATTTTGAGGAGAATATTGGACTTATTTTCTCCAAGCTCCATTGAACAAAGGCCACAATCCAATTTAGTGTTCAGTTTGATGTTGACTTTACATACTGTCACTGTCCACTCATTTTCAGGCAAAATGCCTAAGGCATTTGACTGCTAACCAGGAGGTTGGCTGTTTGAACCTACCAGCTGCTCCATGGAAGGAAGATGGGGCAATCTATTTCAGTAAAGATTTACCACCTCAGAAACCCAATAGGGGTCACTATGAGTCAGAATCGACTCGATGACAGTGAGTTTGGTTTGAGTAATAGAGTAACAGCCAAGAAGTATGGGTCACAGGTCAGGACAATGTAAAGAGAGCTCACTGATTCGAATGTGAAGCTTTTTTGTTGGTGTAGCTCTCTGGTTCAAACACCACATTAACTGTGGAGGTGAGAACTAGGTCCCCAATGCTAGAAAGTTATGTTGTTGTTGTTACGTGCCATCGAGTGGGACCTGCCTCACAGCGACCCCTCCTTGGGTTTCTGAGGCGGTATTACTATGGAAGTAGATTGCCCAACCATCCTTCTGAGGAGTGGCTGGTGGGTTTGAACTGCCAGCCTTCTGGTTAGCAGTCAAGTGCCTTAGGCACTACGCTACTAGAGCTCCCAGAAAGTTATAGGAGAGAATATGTTAAATTTCTCATACAAATACAGGTCTTTAGTGCATCCAAGAGTTGTTATAGAAATAAAAAGCTGTGTTATAGAAATAAAAAGCTATTTCATATTTGTGGCCTGCAGATGAACCTCATACCGGGAAATCTTATATTTTATTTTGAAGAAAGCAGCAGTGCCCTAAAATGCAGTTTTAAGGTGAGTATGTAGTTAAGCACTGGACTGCTAGCAAGGTTAGTGTTTCGATCCCACCCAGAAGACAGGCTTGCAATCTGCTTCCAAAGGCCTTGAAAACCCAGTGGAGCAGTTGTGCTCCACACACATGGGCTCGCCAGGAGTCAGAATCAACTCGACAGCAAGTAACAACCACCACCACAACAACAACATGAATTTGGACCAGCTTTGTGGTCAAGAGTTGCAGTGCTGGAACTTAAGAATATTTTTCAATGTATTTGTTTGTGATTGGTGCGTACTTCTTTATGGTTTTGTGAAAACCAGTGTTTTGTGTTTTAATTATATTCAGATATACTCTGTATGAGAAGAGCGTGTATAAATGGGCCTTTGTTGAAGGCTTTTAAAATAAACAACAATAAGATGGAGGAGGTAGTTTCTGGAAGCTGCTTTGATGAAATCTTACTGGCTGGTATCTATACATAATCAGGGGTCAGAGACAGGGTAACAATGAGGCCATTCAAGCAGGGCAGTAGGGAACACAGGCCCAGCGATTGTTTAGACCCCGACAAATGAGTCATTAATAATTTTCATCTTAGGATCAGTTACGTTGGCTTTGTGTAGACATAGATAGTACATGTTTTAAAAAGGATAAATATCTATTTGCATATAGCTTGCTAATAAAGAATATGCTCCTTTTTATCAAGGTGTATTAGAATTCACTACTATAAATAAACCATTCTGACCCACTCATTTCTTTTTGCTTAACCAGCTGTTATCTGGTCAATTCTGACTTAGGGGACCCTATGTGTGCAAAATATAACTGTCCTTCATAGGGTTTTCGGCAGCTGTTACGTTTGAGAAGTAGATCACCAATCCTTTCTTCTCATGTGTCTCTGGGTGGGTTCCAACCACTGTCAACTATTGAGTTAGTTAGTCTCACTCTCTCACTGCCATTGAGTCAGATCTGACTCATAGCAACGCCTTCTTGGGTTTCTGAGGCAGTATCGCTGCAGAAGTATATTGTCCAACCTTCCGACGAGTGGCTGGTGGGTCTGAATAGCCAGCCCTCTGGTTAGCAGTCAGTTGCCTTAGGCACTACACCACCAGAGCTCCTGAGTTAATAGCCACATGCTTAACTGCCACTTGCGTGGCACTGCAATACTAGCCTTTGTGGGGTAAGTTCTTAGGTCAGAACGGCAAATCTGCAGTGGATTTTCTTCACTCTGGAGTCTCTGGGTGGTGCAAATGGTTAACGTGCTCTGTTGTTACCTAAGAGGTTGGAGGCCACTAGAGGCACCTTGGAGGAAAGGCCTGGTGAACTAGTTGTGAAAAAACAGCTATTGAAACCCTGTGGAGTATAGTTTTACTCTGATACATATGGGGTTGCCATGGCAATTGTTTTTTTATTTCATGTTACTTTGTTTCTTTACTTCAGTCACTTAAATAAAGCAAGTCTTTAAGCACTTGGCTGCCTACTGAAAGGATGGTGGTTCAAATCCACCCAGTGTCTCCACAGGAGAAAGATCTGGCGGTCTGCTCTGGTGAAGATTACTGCCTGGGAAACTCGGGAGCAGTTCTGCTGTCACATGGGGTTGCTGTGAATCGGAATCGATGTGACAGCACCCAACAACTTAACAAGAACTGTTTTATTTGGCAAGCTTTTTTTTCTCCTCTTTTAAAAATAAAATTCGAGAAAGTGTCTTTATGTACTTTCTATGACCTTTACTAACGAAACAGGCCATGAAAACATATTTCCCTGCCCTCGGTGATAGATGCATTGTTTCACTGACAGGGACTATTCCTTGTACAGCTTCACTAACCCGCTCCAGCCGTTTCTTTCTTCCGCTACTGCTGTCACATCACCTGAGTTCACAGCCTGATCTTCCTTGTCCTCTAGTGCTGGTAGTACTATGGTTAAAGCATTGGGCTGCTAACCGAAAGAGTGGTGGTTCGAATCCATCAGCTAACTGCTGTGTGGGAGAAAGATGAGGCAGTCTGCTTCTGGAAATATTTACAGCTTTGGAAACCCTATGGGGCAGCTCTGCTCTGTCGTATTCAGTCACTATGAGTCAGAATTGACTTGATGACTTTCTAGTGCAAGTCCCAGGCAGCCGAGTGGCCTAACACACTGGCTACTCACAGGAGCGTTGGAGGTTCAAGCCTACCCAGAGGTGCTTTGAATAAAGGCCTGGTGCTCTTTTCTGAAAAAGCAGCCATTGGAGCAGAGTTCTACTCTGATGCAAAGAGTAGCCACAAGTTCACGAGTTGTAATCCACTCATGGAAACTGTTTTTTTTTTTGAGTGGTTTTTAAGAACAGTAATGATGTATATAGCTTTCTTTCTTTCACTCCTGCAATCATATGGATGAGTTTGTGTAACTTCACTGGGTGGTGCAGATGGCTTGTGCTCAACTTACTGACCTAATGATCGGCACTTCTAACTTGCACATTGATTGTAGGGAAAAAAGGTCAGGCAATCTGCTTTCCTAAAGACTACAACCAAGAAAACCCTATGGCGCAATTCTGCTCTGTGTACACGAGGTCGTCATGAGTTGGAATCGACTGGATGGCAGTGGGTTTGGGGTTAGTTACGGTACATGGCAACCTAATGAAATATACTGAGGACTGGTTCACAAGAAAGCAGCCTTAGTGGTGCAATGGTTCTGTGCTTGGCTGCTAACCAAAAGGTCAGTGGTTCGAACCCACCAAAGGTGCTGCTCACTAGAGAAAGACCTGGTGATCTGCTCCCATAAAAATTACAGCCTAGGGAACCCTATGGGGGCAGTTCTACTCTATCCTGTAGGGTTGCTTTGAGTTGGAATCAATTTGAGGACACAAAGCAACAAGTTCACAAGACATATTTAATGCAAAGTCAGCCCATTGGAAAATGGATTTATAACATGAAAATTCTCTGCATGGGTATTGGTTGTGTGCCAGCTGATTATGTCCCTAGATTATAACTGGGTACCTCTTTACAACAAGAGCTGGAAGGCACCCTGAGCTTGTCCTGTTTATCCCTCTGCCCCACTTACTCAGAAGGCACAGGGACTCCCTATTCATGTTGTTATTGGTAATTGCCTTCAAGTCGGCTCTGACTCTTGGTGACCCCATGTACAGCAGAACAAAATGTTGCCCAGTTCTGAACCATCTTCACCATCATTGGCATGTTTGAGTCCGTGGTTACAGCCACTGTCTATTTGAGTGCTTCCAGCGTGGGGGCTCATCTTCCAGCACTATATTGGACATACTATGTTGTGTGATCCCTAGCGTTTTCGTTGGCTCATTTTCAGAAGTGGATTGCCAGGCCTTTCTTCCTAGTCTATCTTAGCATAGAAGCTCTGCTGAAATCTGTCCACCATGGGTAACCCTGCTGATATTTTGCAGTACCAATGGATAGCTTCCAGCATCACAGCAACACACGAGCCACCACAGTAGGACAGACTGACGGGTAGGTGGTTGAATCAGATTGCTACTTGCTATGCAGGCCACATCTTCCATGGTTCTGGGTATGTTGTAGCCATTCTGTGTATAAGACAAGCTCCCCTGCACACATCATTCTGAGAAAGTACTCCACTTTCTAGATCTTAACAGTCTTTGTCCTTGTCCAATGGCATAGTCTGGGTTCCCTTTTTGTAGGGCTTGCAGTACTATAGCCCCCCTGAGGTGTCTTGTCCCCTGGTCACACCTGTGCACATGTGCTCCTGCACACCAGGGGAGGACTAACCCCGCTGTCCTCTGCTTTTCAGATATGTCTGAAGAACCCCTCGCCGATGGCACCACAGCTGACGGTGCAGAGGCCTTCAGCGACAAGGATGCAGAGCAGCGCAGCTCCCCGGACATGGCCACGAGCAAGGGCTCCTTGGCCCCTGAGAGTCCTGAGATCGTGTCCGTGGATGAAGGCGGCTATGCTGTTCAGAAGAATGGAGGGTCCTCTGAGAGCCGCCCTGGCAGCCCCAAGTACCATGCGGAACAGAACCACCTCCTGATTGAGGGCCCCTCTGGGACCGTGTCTCTGCCCTTCAGCTTGAAAGCCAACAGGCCCCCGTTGGAAGTGTTAAAAAAGATCTTCCCCAACCAGAAGCCAACGGTCCTGGAGCTGATCCTGAAGGGCTGCGGTGGGGACCTGGTGAGTGCTGTCGAGGTCCTTCTGTCTAGCCGGTCCTCTGTCACTGGGGCCGACCGAACTTCTGCAGAACCTGAGAGTCTGGTTCTGCCACCCAACGGGCACATCTTTGAACATACCCTGAGTTCCTACCCCATCTCCTCTTCGAAATGGTCTGTGGGGTCGGCCTTCAGGGTTCCAGACACGTTGCGCTTTTCTGCCGACTCTAGTAATGTTGTGCCCAACCCCTTGGCCGTCCCCCTGCAGCACCCCTTCCCCCAGCCGCCCCGCTACCCTCTGATGCTGAGGAATACGTTGGCGCGAAACCAGTCGAGCCCCTTCTTGCCCAATGATGTCACGCTGTGGAACACCATGACTCTGCAGCAGCAGTACCAGCTGAGGCCCCAGTATGTCAGCCCTTTCTCCAGTAACTCTTCCAGCATCTTCCGGAGCTCTCCTGTCCTCCCCAGCCGTGCTGCCGAAGACCCTAGGATCTCCATTCCTGAGGACGGGTGCCCGATTGTGTCAAAGCAGGCCATTTACACTGAGGATGAGTACGATGAGCGGTCCGACTCCTCAGACTCTAGAATACTCAACACATCGTCTTAACATGGTACCAGATGGGTGGGGACCAGATGACCCTGGGGCACCCGCATTTGAACCCTGGGGTCCCCGCCGAGAGGCCACATCCTGTGTATACCCTTCTTTTCTGTTTGACAAAGTGACTGTGCTCGATTTTATCCATTAGCAATAAAAACCAAACAAACCGTAACTTATTTAATTCCGTGCACTTCACTGGAAAATGCCAAATAGCTGTGCTCTGTGGCTTTCTTGCTGAATGTTTATTGTAAAGGAGTCTCATGCTAAGAATAGTCTTGGGAAAACTGGGCCCACAGACAATTTATTTGGGGATGTAAAGCTGAAGGTCAGCCCTGCTCCTCCATGCAACCTGGAATGTTCAATAAAATAGTAAACTTGAATGCTGTTTTGTTAAAGAGGATTCCTCAGGATAGGGGAAGTCTCCAGGAAGTGGTTTGCTGGCAAAGGGACCAAATGGGGCTGTTCTATTCTCATGCTAAAACTCCTCCTGGCATTTTGAAGAGAGACTGCACCTCCGAACTGAACGCACTGCCCATCTGTTGCTTTAAGCTTGGACAGCTCTCAGAGACAGACTTCATTAACGATTATTCTTTTCACATGGCTGAATCGAAACGTGTGTAATGTCGATGTAAAACCAATCACAGCTGTGAACTGCATGAAGTGTATTGTGAAATGAACACCAGATTAAGCTTTGTTGGGTTCATGTAGCATGCTAAGGACTCTAGACAAAAAATAAACTAAGGAGATGATCTCGGTCTATGTCATTGCTACTGGTGGAAAGAGCAGCTCAAAAAATAGGAACTGGATGTTAAAGCTACTTATGGGACATGACCATGGACCAGGGATCAAGATGTCAGTTGAAACAAAATGTTCCTCCAGAAACGTGGGTGATAAAGTTCTGGGGCTGCATTCAGAGAGGTAGATAATGTGTCATTTTAGAATTTTAAAAGTTCCAGGATTAAAAAATAAAACCCATTGCCATTAAGTTGATTCTAACACATGGTTAGTGAATTTGGTTAAATGCTTGTCTACTAACCAAAAGGTTGATGGTTCAGACCCACCCAGAAATGCCTTGGAAGAAAGGCCTGGTTATCTGCTTCTAAAAGGGCACACCACTGAAAACCCTAAGGAGCGCTGTTCAACTCTGACACCCACTGGATCACCATGATGTGGAGTCGACTGGATGGCAACTGGTTGGTTGGTTTTTACTATACAAAAGAGAATGCACGTTCTATGTTATTCAGATTATCTACCCGAGAATTGGAAGATAAGCAGGAATTAAAATGGAGGGTCCAATTAAAAATAAAGTGAAAATGAAGTACTACTAACAACGTGCAATCCAGTATGGGAAGGGAATCAATGCCTAAGTACAGCGCCTGACATAGAGAAAGAACTCAGTAAATGAGAGCTATTACTCCTGTTAAGGAACTCTGGTGGTGCAGCGGTTAAGGTATTTGGCTGCTAATCACAAGTCAGTGGTTCGAACCCACCAGCTGCTCCATGGAAGAAAGATAAGGCAGTTGGCTTCCTTAAAGATTTGCAGCCTTGGAAACCCAGTGTGGGTCTCCATGAGTTGGAGTTTTTTATAATTCTTATTGTTGGAACTCTGGTGGCACGGTGAAGTGCCTAAGGCATTTGACTCCTAACTGGAAGGTTGGCAGTTCAAACCCACCAGCCACTCCATGGGAAGTAGTCCAGGCAAATCTACTTCTGTAAAGATTTACCACTTCAGAAACCCAGTGGAGGTTGCTGTGAGTCAGAATAGACTCGATAGCAGTGTTTTTTTTTTTTTTTTTTTTTTTTTAATGTTTTAAGGAACCCTGGTAGCCCTACAGTTAACTCTCGGCTGCTAAGTAAAAAGTTGGAGTTCGAACGCACTGGTGGGTCCGTGGAAGAAAGACCTGGCAATCTGCTCTGTAAAGATTACTGAACCGAAAGCCAACCCATTGCTGTCGAGGCCATTCTGACTCATAGTGACCCTCCAGGATGGAGTAGAACTGCCCCGTAAGGTTTCCAAGGCTACAATCTTTATGGAAGCACAGTGACGCATATCCCTCTAGTGGCTGGTGGATTGGAACTGGCCATCTTTCAAGTTAGCAGCCAAGCACTCAACCACTGTGCCACCAGGGCTTCCATAAAGGTTGTTGTTGTTATGTGCCATTGAGTTGGACCCGATTCATAGCGACTCCTCCTTGGGTTTCCGAGGCAGTATCACTACGGAAGTAGATTGCCCCATCTTCCTTTTGAGGTGTGGCTGGTGGATTTGAGCCACCAGCCTTCTGGTTAGCAGTCAAGTGCCTTAGCCACTATGCTACCAGAGCTCCCTCCATAAAGGTTAGAGCCTAGAAAACCTTATGGAGGCAGTTTTACTCTGTCACATGGGGTGCCTGGAAGTCGGAATTGATTCAGCAATACTCAACAATAATGGCAACAACATCACTCCTATTAATTCAGTCAAACAGTTTGCATTCAGAATGTATAAGTAAATTCCCTCATTCTCACTTGGAGAAAATGTCATTCTGGCTTGAGGGATCAACAAGAAGACATTCAAAACCAGGGATTTTGTTTTCAAATTTTGAGAGTACCTGTGGAGGTGCTGTACCTGGAGCGCTTCTTGCTCAGGTATTTTCTAAACTGCTTTGAACAGTAGTAGTCAGAGGTGCCCACACCCAGCACTTCTCTTCTTGTTTTCATTCCTCTAAAGTGCTTGAGAGGTAAGATTCCCTGGGTCAGATGGCTGGCTTAGGAATGTGGGAGGGAAAGTAAATAAACAACTGAACTAAAGCTTCTCCCTGACAAGGATGCCCAGAGAACTGCTGCCTGTGCAGGGAGAAGTCTAGAAAGCTCTTTCGTTCAGGGAAGAAAGGACACTTCTTCCCAGCCTGCCCAAGAGAGACCCTTCCTCAACTGGAGGTCATGAGTTGGCAATGGTAGCCCTTCACCCTTAGTGGGTTAGAAGAGGCTGTTTAAAAGAAAAACCTCACTTCCCCTTGGCATTTCTGGAGTAAGCACTCTGAGGGAAAACATTCTTTATGTTGGTTTGACTAATGTGGACTTAAGGAGCCCTGGTGGCGCAGTGGTTAAAACATTTAGTTGCTAAACAAAAAGTTGGTAGTTCAAACCATCTGTTTGAACTGTAGGAGAAAGATGAGGCAATCTGCTTCTGTAAAGATTGACAGCCTTGGAAACCCTGTGGGGCAGTTCTGCTCTGTCTTGTAGAGTTGCTTTGGGTTGGAATTGATGGCAATGGGTTAATGTGTACTTAATTGTCTGGGTACATACCAGTGTGTTTCACAGTACGTATGATTTGTTACTAGGGTTCTATTTAAACATTTGTGTTTATATCAGGAAGAAAGTGAGGCAGTGGGGAGAATAGCTTGCCCCTGATTTTGAGGTCACATCCAAGATACTCAGGAGGAGATGGGCTATGTCTGGGCCCGCTTAGGACAAATGGGCTTTAACAAGGCATTCTCAAAAGTTTACCCACCTTTATGTAACAAGCAACTGTCATCACAGGTCCCCTGCAGACCAATGGTGCTGCAGAGTCTGTCCTCAGCTGTCACTTTTCTAGGTTGACGACGCCGATTGAGCAACACTGGGCTGAGACAGTACCCTGAGAGTTTGATTTCACCTACAGAACAGTCAGCATCCTTGACTGCTTTTTAAGATGGCCAGCAAATGGAATTATCTGTAAGAGAGTCAATTCATGGGCTAGGGTAGGTACGTTTCATCTTCCATACAGTCTGCTAAAGAAAGAAATGTTTGGTTTAGTGGGGTGAATGTAGTCGGGTTAAAAGAGAGAAATAGGTTATTAGGATCTTGCTTCTTTCTTGCTTCTGATGTTCAATTTTGCTTCCTCTGGTGGCGCAGAGGTAGAGTTCTCACTTCCATGCAGGAGGCCCAGGTTTGGTTCCCAACCAGCACACTTAATGTGCAGCCACCATCCGTCCTGTCAGCGGAGGCTTGCGTGTTGCTATGATGCTGAACAGGTTTCAGTGGAGCTTCTAGATGATGACAGATAAGGAAGAAAGACTTGGTGATCTGCTTCCAAACGTTGGCCAGTGAAAGCCCTGTGGACCACTATGGTTGGATCTGCAGCCAATCATGGTGATGCTGCTGGACCGGCAGTGTTTTATTTCATTGTATGTGAGGTCACTATGAGTCGGGGGCCAACTGCAAGGCAGCTCGCAATTAACAGCAGTTCTTAGAGCTAAGTCCCCTCAGGCTGAAATGGCAAAATGTCTTGGGTTTGATCTTGGCTCTCTCAAAGCCCTTTCTGGTTGGGTAAGTGAGCCTCAAGGGGAAGGAGGGCCCCTCTGGCTATGAGTTGAAACAGACTTGATGGCAGTGGTTTGGGTTTGTTTCTGGCACAGGCACTCTGCTGTGCTTCCACATGAAACTGAAATTCTGGATAAAATGTACAGAGGAACTCAGCCAACTCCTAGTAAAATCCCACCTGTCACACAGACAAAACATCTGGGTTTTTGGTTTATACCTAGTGATGTCCGACTGGTGGGCCTAACCAGTCTTGTAGAAAGTCAGATCACATTAAACCACAGTAGGTCTGCCAGCTCCCAGCTTATAGGAGACACATGGTTTCCCTATGATGTGAACGTGAGGTGGGTATATCATGTTGTTCTAAAGCAGTTTGTCTGAAAGTGTGGTCTGGAAGGTTGACTTTCTAGAGGAGATTCCTGGGCTACACCTGTAGAGTCAGATTTCTTGGTAGCCTAAAAAGAAAACCACACCCAACTCATAATGAATGCATATACCTCTCTGTCTGCATTGCACACGCATATGAGTGAGACATATACAGTCACTGGCCTCAACCATTCCATAGGTGCTACCATCTGTGATGGTTTTAGATATACAAGACAATGTACAGTGTTGGCAAAGTGAAATTCATGGTATTATTTACAGAAATCCAACAGTAAACAATAACCATAGATTCCCAAATGGATATACTTACCCTTCCCCAATTTACCCATGTCCATTCTTATGTGGCTGGG